AAATTAAATTAAAGTCTTAAACCCAACGACATCATTTCTCTTAATCCTCAAAGTCTGTTGTGTTCTGCCCTTTTGCATCCCACTCAATCATCTCCATGCCATCGTTTCCTTGCCTCCTTGATTTCCATAGCAATACTAGGAGAAGTCTGTTTGAATCCCTCAAGATCATCCACTTGTATAGCTAAGAATTTGTCATTGTTGTCATTTAGTGCTTGTAAAGTTGAGTAATTGTTCCCATCAATTTTATCTGGGACATTTGTCATGAAATTAGAGAAACTTTTTTTGGGTAGATAGAGTTTTGTAAGAAAACAAAACACTTACCATTCTTTGATCCCTTCATTGTTATTGTCAATGGGGATGATGAATTGCAACCACACAATGGAGTGAAAATAATAGGTGTTGGAGATTAAGTCGGTGGTGTAGGATTGTGTTTTAAAAATTCAAGGAATTGGAGTAGTCAAGGGGGCAAGGAGGTGATGGCAATGGAGATGGAGATGAGTTGGTGGTGATGAAGATGATTGATTGGGATTCAAAATGAAAAATAATAGGTGTTAGGATTAAAAGAAACTACGCAATTAAAGTTTGAAACTCTAGATTGATATACAATTTTTTCATTATAATATATATTAAATAAAAAATTTTATTTAAGTAATATTTAATTAATTATAAATATAAAATTTTATTAATAAATTATTACATTTTTATTTTATTAAAAAAACTAAATCTATTAAAAATAAATAAAGAGAGTAATAATTTATTAGTAATAAAAATTTTATAGTATTTATTTCTAATTAAGTATTTAAATAAAATTTTTTATTTAATATATATTGTAATTATTTTTTAAAATAAAAATAAAATAATAACAAGCACATTGAATAACATTCTTAAAAAAGAAAAATAAGAAACTAAATTCAAACATAAGAAATTAAATTTATTAAAAATGACCAAAAAGACCAACATCCTTTTATCCTCATTCATAAAATGCAAACAAGTTAACAAGTGAAACTTTTTAGTCCACATCAACTAAATTAATTTAAAACGTGATTACAATTTATGTTATGAGAGTGCCTCTTTGTTTTTGTGTATGTATTGTCCACATGACATATCATAAATACATTATTTTTTTAATTTTAAATTAATTGTTGTTTTTTATTTTTTTTAAAGAGATAAATATTTTTATTTTAATTATATCATAATTTATTTATTTTAAGTAATTATTCTATTATAAAAGGTATAACTTTATCTTTTAATTTTTTTTCTAAACGTAACCTAAGTGAATATATATTATTTTTGAATTCTTAATTTAAATAAAAAATAATTATTTTATGATATATAGAAGAACTACTATTAATATATATATATATTTTGAACAATTTAACATGGAACGAGTCGAATCTACTCAAAAAGGGAGGAGATCCATTTATTCAATATGATTAATATCACTATATTTGAAAGGTCAGGTACTATTATTAATATATTATTAGTTTTATTATAAAATAAAAGAATAAGTTATCCTACCATTTTCGAATAAAAATTTGGTTAGTATTTTTAAATGAGATGGTTTACAGGCAGTCAGGCAAATCCCATATGGTGCAATTGTGGGCGTAGACCATAGACGATGACTAAATCAATATTTCCTGCTATTGGTTTCTTCCTCTTTTGACCCAAAACATGTGGAGACGAAGGGATGATGAGAAACTTTTGTGGGTTGTTGAAGAAAGTGAAATGTTAACAAACAATCTCTTTTTTAAGAAATGGATATAATTACGTGATTGGATTCTTAGTCTTCTTTGGTGTTTCCGATTTTGTCTTCTCAAGACTTTTTTCCCATTTACCTTTTCATAATTGGCAGCATTGTCATGGTCCAAATTCTTCTTCCAACTTCCAATTTGTTAATTGTTTGAATCTATATCATTGGGACCACCTTACAGTGTTGACGAGGTTGTCCACATTATTTTAAAACATCATAATCCTAGCTGAACGGTCTACTCCAACATAGTGATAT